TTCACTGGAGATTCAATTTCAAGCTGTGTAATTTCTAGAGACAAATCATGTTTCTAAAGTTTCCTCTAAAGATATTTCTTATATTTAATTACTTTATCCATTTAAGGTTTTTAGCTATTATTTGTTAAAGCCTTCAGATGGCTTAAAATAAGCATAATGCAAAATTTTAAAAATTGAATTTGCAAGCACAAGAAGATTGCATAAGCAGGGTTATGAATTTGATATTGGTAGCAAAGTCTTTCAAGATGGAAGACATGTTACTAGTGTTTATTGTTTAAATTGACTAATCAAAAGAAATGATAAAAGCCAGGTCAGAAAACAAATATTTTTCTGGAATTAAATTACAGATACTATCTATACAGTATGTCCTTGAATATAAAATTTCTATAAAGAAAAAGTGGCATTATCCTGATAAAATAGGTTGGGCTAAATAAAAAAAATACAAATACTATAGAATTAGCTAATTCTGTTATACAGGCTCTTCATCAATTACCTGTTATATACTGTGTTTGGTACTCAGAAAACTTTTAAAAATTATTTCAGGAAAAAAATATATTAGAGAACCACTTTTAATAATGTATCTAACTGAGAGGCTGGGGAGACAATGACTCCCAAGGAAATTCTCCTTGATATGACGAGTAAGTGAGAGTTGCCCAGCTAAAGCATGTCACATAGTCTCCCATGGTAGGATTTCAGTAGCTATTTAGTGTTTCCTGAGATCTTCAAATGGAAATATTAGAATGAACATTTAAAAAGTGTCAACAGATACAAGCAACGTACCTTATAAATTAAATAATAAACAGTAATGACCATGTCCACCAGAAAAGGAAATTTGTCTAGTATGTGTCTCTTCTTCTAAATTTTGATCTATGATTCATATCTGAAGTTACATCATCTCATTTCAAAATGGGTTACACTTAATAAAAGAATTCATCTTGATCTATTGATGTGTTTACTTCCTGTTGATGTGTTTTCTTTACATTTTTGCACAAACAGCAAATATTCATTTTTTTAAAATGATATTCATTCATTCCCAGATACACAGATTGTATCTGTGGAGATACAATCATTAAGAGATTACACATGGTCTCTGGCCTCCTGAAGTTTACATTCCAGTCCAACAAACAGAAATGATAATGCAGTGTGAAAACTACCATGGCTGGGGAAATACAGTCAGCTATAAAAACATGAGGAAAGCCAATTACCCTGACTGGGATAGGGTAGAAATTGGAAAGAAGAGTGGAGTCTTCCCAGAAGAAGTCATTTGACCTGCAAGATTAATAGGATTTATCAAGGTGGAAAAGAGCTGGAACAACATTCCAGGCAAAGAAAAGAACATGTGCAAAAGCTCAGAGGATAGAGGGAACAAGATCAAAGGCTCCCAAAGAACTTAAGTTTGGCTGGACAGGGGGAGAGGAAGATGAGGGATGGATAGGGGATGGAAGTAGTTTCAATTGTGTCAAGTATTTTTGACATTTTCTCCAATGAGCAATAAAAAATTACTCAAGAGTTTAAGCAAGAAAATGGTATGATGAAATATATTTGATGAAATATATTTGCATTTCAGAAAAATCACTAGAGTTATAGGATGGAGAAGAGATTGGAGGAGTCTTGAATAAAGGCAGGGAAACCTCTCTTCACGACTTTCTCTAGATAATGGCAGACTCTCCCAAAAGAATTGGAGAAATGAAGAAAAGTGGCCGAATTCACAAACTTCAGTATTTAGGAAATAGAATCTAAAGATTTGGTGACTGATTAAAACCTGGGGGTGAAAGAGAAAGAAAAGTCTTTAAAATCTCTTTAAAATGAGGCCCAGTTTATTTGACTCCTTAGTGAAGGGTTAAAGTCTACCATAAAAAAATGTTTTATTAATTTATGCAATGAAAATGTCAATTTATGTATGTGAGCAAGGATCTTAAAACAATTTATGAAAATCAATTGTTTTGTTTTATAGTCCTATAGAAAAAAATCCATTTAATTTCTATGTAATTAGTCTAACCATAACACAAATATCTTCTTTTAAGGAAAGCAGTATTTTAACATATTCAATTTGTTCTTAAGATATACAATTTCAAAACCAGAGGAAAAAAAGAACTGGATCAAAATGTATAACATTATGAAAATTTTACAGTATTCTGACTTTCTAATTTCCTCTTTGTTCAGACTATTGCAGCAAAAGACAAATAAAATAAAATTGTATGCAATTTAAAGCTATATTAACTCAATTTTACATAACCCAATATACCCAAAATATTATAATTTCAACATGGCATCAATATAAAATTATTAATGAGCCATTTTATATTCTTTTTGTGCTGCCTTTGAAATCTAGAGTATATTTCACACTTGTAGCACATCTCATATCAAATGCTGAATAGCCTCATGTGGCTAGTGGCTATGCTCTTGGATAACAAGGCAGCTCTGGAACATAAAGAGGCATACCTAGAAGACTGCTTGCTCCCTTACTTGTGCCTTAAAAAGCTTAGCAGATGGTCCCAATGAGTAAAGGCAAAAAAAAAAAAAAATTAGTAAAATGATCTAAATCTTTGTTTTGTTATGTAAATATGGCCACTGAGAAGGAAAGTTAAAATTCAGAGAGAGCAACTGAACATTGAAACTTTGCTGATGACAGTGGTCAGTCAACGGAGGTGCAAAAAACTGGAATATGTATTGAAAAACCCCAAACCCCTCAATACTTTTAAGTATCAAACTTCAATCCATTTAAAATAATCCTTTTAAATACTACCTGTTCAATTTTAATTTGAAAATCTCCCAGCAGCTATTTCATCTGGAAGTGGCAGGTTTTTTTGACACCAGTAGTTTAGTAAATCCATGGCAAGAGATTGCAAACCAGTTTCCATCTTGATTTAATGCTCTTTTAAGTTTATAAGAAAAATGTCACTATGTAAACAACAGACATTTTGATTAAACACTAATGTTCTTATTTTGGCTGTTAAATCAATAATGCAGCTGGATCGAAAGTAGTTTACATTCCCTCAAAACTGGGCTTCAGTTCAGCTAGCATTGCACTGACATCATTTTCCAGCACGATCTGGCTGCTTTTAGCAGCTAGTTTAGAAATGTCCTTTGCAAACCACATAATTTTCAATGTTAACACATTTCAAGAAGAGGGTCTCACAAATGCCAGTGCTTAAAATAGTACAGTCAATCCAGAAATAGTCTCTCATCTAATGTCTAATTTACTATTAATAGTAAAAAGCTTTTAAGGTAATTTTAACAAGAGTATAAGACAAAGGCCTTTGGCGACATTATTTATCTTTTTCATCTGAAACTGATTTTGGAAGGTTTCCTATTTTCCCTTCTGTAGTAGATTAATTAATATATAATTCACAGCAATGGTTTTCAAATATGTTTTGGTGGCAGAACACCTGAAAGCCCTGGTCCTTTTTCCTAAACAACAAGCTCCAGGTAGAACTTCACAAATACTGATATACTGTTTGATTATATTCTACAAACTAAGAATATTTTGCAAATAGAAAATAAGGCCATATTATATGACTAAAACATAAAACCACAACCAGTGGCATCTATAACCATTACCAAAAAAAAAAAAAGGTCAGTTGAACAGATCACAATAGACCATGCGAAGTTTTCCAGAGAACGTTAATTTACACTTTGCATATTCGATGTCAGCAATGAGAAATCAAAAAAATATGAAACAGAAATGGTAAAATGTATTCAAGACCATTCAATAACTATGATTTTATAGAAATTTTTAAAAGGTCACTATGATTCCATTTCAGCAGTAAGACCCTCTCACCTAGCAGGCTGAACAAAAGTATTCTAGAGCCTATATTTGAGAACCACAAACACAAAACTTCTAACTACAGGATCTCAAACTGCTTACCTGTAGAAATTCTCTGACATTGGATCCCAGAACGCGTAAGATTGTATCGTAACCAGATTCTTGACAAAAGACAAAAAACATCTTCCCAAACATCTGAAGGATTTCTCCAGCATTGAGATCTATTTTATAGGTTCAAGAGAAAAAAAGCATATTACAGGTGAAATAATGTTAATAGAAAGAATGAAAATAAGTGTATATTAAAATAATTTAAAATAGCCTCAATTTTTGTTCATAGTAATGTAAATCATATGAAAAAAATCTGGCCAGGACAATGCAATGAAATCTGAGAAGACAATGTACTAACATGTTAATAGTGTAAATTTTTACTTGTAAGCAAAATACCCAGTTTTTCCACAACAAATTACAGGTTGAGCATCCCTAATCTGAAAATCTCAAATCTGAAAATGCTCCAAAATCTGAAACTTTTGGTCACTGACATAACACCGCAAGTGGAAAATTCCACACTTGACCTCTTGTGACAGGTTGCAATCAAAACTTTGATACATAAAATTATGAAAAATATCCTATAAAATTACTTTCAAGCCATGCGTAGAAGGTATATATGAATCATAACTGAATTTCCTATTTAGATCTGGGTCTCAACCCCAGGGTATCTTATTATGTATATGTAAATATTACAAAATCCAAAAAAATCCAAAAGCTAAAAACATTTCTGGTCCCAAGCATTTTAGATAATGGATACTCAAACCTACACTTAATTTTGAGTGTTTTAAACATACATTTAATGTATAGATTATTTTTTCTGAAAAACACAGAAATATTTTTAAAACTGTCAAGAATGAACATGACAATATTTTGATGGAAAATATTCTTGCTTTATATAATATGTATATTTAATAACTTGATTGCATATAGTATTACCTTAATATACTGCTTTCTTAATATACAATCATTACTATTTCCAAAAATTTAAATTTTCTGTAATTTTTCTGTATCAATTTTAATTGCTATATTATTCAACATATAGATGTAACAATTTATTTAACCAATCCCTTCTTATTGAAAATATAGGCTTTTTCATTTTTTGATAATATTAGTAACTCTGACACAAAAACACATATATAAATCTTAAAATAGAGACCTAATAATTTCTTTAGGAAAAATTCCTAAAGTGTGTGAATATTTTTTAAAGAGGCTTCATGATGCAGAATCATTCAACAAAAAAGTTTTCTTCATTTATCATCAGATTAAAAATGTATATGATTTCCCCTTTAAGTGTACTCTTCACTACACTAGATACTTCATTTTTTAAAACGTCCAAATTTATATGAAAACAAGTTATTTCATATTTGTTTCAATTTTCATTACTAATGAGGCTGGGTATTTTTATCTTTATTTATCAATTATTTTTAATTCTTGTATTCTGCTATAGACAGTATCTGCCTTTCTAGTTATGTTTAGCAAAGCTAAAAGCTTCATTCTAGTCTATCCAAACTATAGCCTAGTTATAAATTAAGCACTATGGAAATAATAAATATTACCTTGAGAACAACTATTTCTCCATGAAATTTTTTAAACTGCCTTTTTCAGCAAGATCCTTTGTCTGTGGTAGGTATCAGTTTCCTATTGCTTTTACCAATAGGTAACATAAGTTGTGATTGCAAGAGATTTGGGGATAATACATACTACACTTGTGTAATTAACACATTGTTTACATCATAACTGAAGTTGTTACATGAAGTATCAATAATATTTTTCTTTTCCCAACATTGCTTTCTGTGGGGAAGGGCAGAGAGCATGTTTTCTCATTTCTATTCTTTAAAGAGCTTGTGAAAGAAGCATAGAACTCAGTAGAGCCTGAGCGTAACATTCTATGTGAATGCCCTAGCCACCAGGGCTGTGCAATGCACAACTTGCATGACTATACGTTGTGATCTTGAATGATGCATTCTTTTGGGCTTCTATGTGTAACTTAGCCAAAGAAGGAAAGTTACATTTAACTTACTGAGGACTTTGCTTGCAGCAGCAACCAAATCGTAAGTTTTGGAATCATCATATATTATTCTCACAAGAAATTGTCCTTCTTCATCTAACTGTGCCTCTTTTCTGGAAAACAAAATAGAGAGACAGGAGGGAAAAGTTAAAATTTAAAAAATAGCTACTGTAGCTATAATGATTGTGTAAAGTATAAACAATGATTTCAACATCTGAAACAGGATTTGTTTTTGGCAAATTTCTTTAAATGAACATTATGTACCTAAAAGTCTAGTGATCAAGCAGAAATTATGTCACAACCCCCTCACTAGATTAAAATGAAACATTTAAGTTTATTTTAGCAAGACTAACATTTATATAGCACTCTAATGTTCAATACAATACCTGACATTAAAAACAAAAAATAACTTTTGGTTAACTAAATATTCAGCAAATATTTGTTGAGTCCCTATATGTGCCAGTCATTGTTCTAGTCACTAGGAGTACATTCTTTAGTAAAACAGACGAAAAGTCTGACTTCTTGGAACACATACATTCTAGGAGGAGAGACAGACAAGGTGTAACATTCTTAAGTAACATAGAATGTTAAGTACTTTAGAGAAAATAAAACAGAGTAGGGGGTGGGGTGCTCAAGTACAACAGCCAGGGGGGCCTCACTGGGAAGCTGGCATTGGAGCTCAAGGCATGAAGGAGCCATGAGCAATCTGGGGAAAGTGCTCCACACAGAGGAAAAAACAAGTACAAAGGCCTAGGCAGGAGCACACCTGGGGTGTAGGAGGAACAGCAGAGGCCAGTGTGCCTGGAACAGAAGAGAGGGCAAAGTAGCTGGAAGGGAACAGGTTGGAGAGGTAACAAGAGGCCTGGTTGGACAATGGGATCATTGGCATCTGTGTGAAAGAGATGAAGAGTCTGGGCGCTTGTGATACAAGCAGTGATAGGAACTGACCTAGGTTAAAGGAATTAGTGTGGCTACCACATTGTGAATGGACCAAAGGGGTGTAGGACAGAGTTGGGAGACCAGTTAGGAGGCTGCTGCCAACATTCAGGTGAAAAATACAAGTCACTTGATTCAGAGTGGAAGCAGTGGAGAGGGTGAGAAGTGACTCAAACCCAGATATATTCTGTAGGTAAATTCAACAGGATTTGCTGCTGGATTGGACGCAGGGTATGAGAGGAGAGGACTCAAGGATGACACTAAAGTTTTTGGTCTGAGCAACTGGAAGGATGTTGTCTCCAGTAACTGAACTGGGAAGGAATGCTGGAGGTGGGCTGGGGATTAGGATCAAGAGTCGTAAGTCTGGGACGTCTTTGAACATGTTAAGTTTGAGATGCCAAGTGGACTGATAAAATCTTCAAATATATCCTTAGCTTATTAAACACAGTAGCACAAAATAAACACAGTATTAGTGCAAGGAAATTATGGTTATTTTTAACAATTGTCATGATTATATGAATATATTTATTTTGATAGGATTTGGATTACTTTTCTCAAGCAAGTGTCCAAAGAGGAGGGGGAATCCTTTGTTCAAAACATTGCCAGCTGTAGAAAAGAACTAAGTTCCAGATATTGTTGCCAAAGTTAAATTCACAAAAACACATGGAGCTTGGATATCAACCTCTGACTCTCAATCCAACTCATCTAAATCCCTTGCCAGGAGGATACAAGGGAAACCAACCACTATAATTAGGTGAACTTTCAACACAGTGGCTCAAATAACTCCTTAAATATTGTCAAGGCAGGCCACCGTCGCTTTCTGTCCTTCAGAAGCTGTGTATCTGTCACCGCTGCTGCTCACGGCTGTCCCTATGTCTGCTCAAAGGCAAAATTCCAAATGGCGGTATGTCTTGGTCGCTATCTCAGCATGGAGATAGTCTTAAAAACACTCTATGTTCTTCAGAGCATACCATTATTTGCCTGCAGTTATATATAACAGTGCATGTAAAAATGTAAACAAAAAAGAAAAAGAAAAAGCATGATTTTGGTAAGCACAGATATCTGAATTTCAGAGTCCAGAGTTTACTAGCCGAATAACCCTGAGCAAATCACATAAAGCACATGAGCATCAAAATCTCTCTTTTCTAAGGTGGGAGCAACAATATAACTCACCTTCCCCAATTATAAAGAGACAAAGAGTACAAAAGCATGTTCTAAGCACTTAAAGCATTACACATATTACTGATGAGTATAGTGTTCCCATGTTTACATACTCAAACAATTATAGCACCACATATAAAATGTGAAATTCTTCTCCCTTTTCTCACACATACAAAGCTATTAAACAAAAGAGGCATAGCTCTGTTAGGTAGAAAGTGAGGGATTCCAGGTCTCCTAGGGACGAAAATGGGTGCTGTTGGCCCCATCTTGGTCCTGCTCAACCCTTATTCTCCATACCTGGGGGAGAAGGGAATACCCTACGAATCTGCCAATCAGAACTGGCACGCCAGCTGCAAAAGAATGCAAAGGACTCTCTAGCCCATGGGCCAAGCCGCATGGGTACGATAAAGTCCAGAAAGTGACCTAGAACCCACATGTGCAGTAAGACTCAGGTCATGCAGCTTGCCAACTGTCCAATCAAAGTGGTTCTATGGTGACGTCTGAACCACGGGGAGGTACCTGTCAGGACACCATAAAACAAGACCCAGACCATAACCAAGCTCTCTTTTCTCCTACTTTGACAAGCGGTCCGGTCGTCATCTCTGGTTTATGTATCATGCTTTGCAAACCTACGTCTCGCTCTTGCTCTAAAATCCTATCTTGCTTTCCCTCAATAAACTTAACCTCATGCTTGCCTAACTTTGGTGCGTCTGGTCATTTTTCAGCCATGATCGCACTAAAAACCGACATTCCAGACCAAAACCTGACAGCTCTTTTAAAGACCTCAAGTCTTTTTAATGCCAAAGTCAGTGAGATCCCCCCAAATTATGAAAATATAATATACAAACACTGTCTCATTATTTGTTAAATGCTACTATATGTTTTATGCATTATAATTTCTAATTGTAAAAAAATACAAAATATAAGAAAGGAAAAATTGAAGAGAAAAATAATCCTCCACTATCCTGAAATAACCACTGCTAATATTATATTCAAGTTATTCATGCTTGAATATGCTTGTATTAATATAAATAACATGCTGTTTTAAAACCTCCTGGTTTAACTTAATATTTGATGGATATTTTTTCAAGTCAATAAATATACTTCTATGTCATGACTGCGTAAAATTGCATTGTATAGATTATAAAAATCTTGGTAGACAGTTAGATTCCTTTTATCTTTTTCACATGTATAAACAATGTTGCGATGCATATCTTCATAGTGAATTATATTTCTATGCAAAAATAGAATTCCTAGGAATGTAATTACTGGTTTGAAGGATATGGATATCCTAATTTTTGCCATTTTGCCACTAACATTTTATTATGAAACAACACTAGTCTAAAAGATTGGCATTATGGAGCCTCTGATTTAGGACATTCAAATAAAATATAAATAATTTTAATTAAGTATATAATAAAGTGTAAATTAATTTGTGTTTTCACCATGCCCTACCTATTCTCTTTGTTCCAACTGGAAAAAATCAAATCACATAAATTTCTGTAATAAACTCAGTTTCCCTGAAACACTCGCCATCCATACTTACTCTCAAATGAGTGAGATACGAGCAGAATACACAGTCCCTTTGCGTAAAACAGAGAAACAGCCACTTCCCCAGAAATTGCCTAACCATGAGTCAATGCATTCCTTCTTTCCTTTCTCTCTTTTTATTAAAGTAAGCTCCCTAAGCTTTACTTCCTGAAATGATCAGCCTCAACAGGCTCCCTGGCCCTGATGGGAATCAAAATAGAAATTAAACAGTAGTAGTACATGGAAGAAAATAATAATCTTCTCTTAAAAACTCCACTCTGAATTTCACTGAATTATTCAAAATATTTAGGAATCTTTATTTACATTTATATTAGAAATCTTTGGGAATACTGGGTTGCTCTTTTTCTTTTTCTTGTTTTTTTTTTCTTTTTTGCCCTGGAGGAAGAGTTTTACCACAAAATATTTCAATGCTTAATATGTCCCAGGCACTTTTCTAAGCACTTTTAATATAGCAATGAATGAAACAGATAAACATTCCTGCCTGCAGAAAGCTTATATTTTCACTGGCAGAAACAATAAGCAATAAACATAATATATAATCAGCTACAAGGAAAAGTAGATCAGGATAAAGGTATGAGGATAGGGATGTAGGAGGAAAGGGCTGGATGCAATACGTAGAGAGAGCATATACATGCTCAAATATTCATAATGATCACGATAGGTTTCATGGAAATGGTAACAGCTGAGCAAAGATTTCAGGAGGCAAAGTGTGTCCCTACCACCTTACACCTAACCTTTCTGGGAAACTTCCCTTCTTTCTGTAGCCCATTCTTCATCTTCTTCCCTTTTCAAGGGGGAAAGCTAATTGGAAATATCACAAACCCTTTAGTGTGAAGTGGTTTAACACACTAAACTGAGGAGAATTTACACTGCAAAAGGAGTAATGGTCAAGAGAATTTATTTCAGGCAATATGGCCACTGAAGCTAGTAGAATTTTGAGTCAACAAAGCCTTCTTTGTTGTCTCTCAATTCTCAACACTACTTTTCTTCTAATTTCTGGGAAAATTTATATTTGATCAGGCTTCATACTAACAAACATTTTAGCCCCCAGATAACACAGAGATGTGATAATAACCATCTCCCAGCACTCTGCAAAATATACCTGCCACTACTCTTTAAGGAAAGCTTTAATGGCTTCCCTTCCCACATTGCATGCTCTTTCTTTCCTTAGTTTTGGAGCTGTTTTTTCAGCTGCTACCTGAAATCACAGAGTTTGTAAGAAAAGTTAGGAAGCAAACTAATAATAATATTGAGATTACACAAACTATTTACACAATACAAGTAATAGTACCTCAGAATTGTCCACTCTCCACTTGGTTATACCATAACTTTTAAACTTTCCCTTTAAAAGCAAAGTAAAGGAAAGAATAATTGTATAGATAGATACAACTTTTCTAACAACTTAAGATATATTTTCATAATA